AGAGCGGAGACAGCCGTGCAGGTGGGGCCACTGCACGCGCGCTCTCCGAATGGCCACCAGGGGAAGCAGAGCAATGTCCCCGCCCCCTTGAGGGGCCAGTTCCAGGCTGCTGCTCAAGGCCAGAGGCTGAGCATCCTGACGCACAGAAGAACGGTTCAGACCCCCACAGGCCCCAAGAAAGTTGTTCAGACCCTCACGGTCTCCAGCTCTAACCAGGGATTAGCACCAACGTGGCATGGGGGCGCTGGGGGGGAGAGATGGAGCAGATGATGGGACACTGCCCTGAAGGAGGTGACAATTCATTCACAACCTTGTTGGGTGGCAACTGGGTGCCCTTATCATTCGGGGAGCGACTAGGTAAACAAGCGCTCATCGGTTAGAAAAAAGGGATTAGGTGCACGTGCACTACGTGAATGGTCTGAAAAATATAGTGCTGGGGGGAAAAAGAAAGAAGCAGAATGGGTTGTAAAACAGAGCTCCTCTATATAAATCAAAAATGCATACAGTTCCGAGAAACTGCCACCACCAAGAGGAGCCTAAGGAAACATGACACTGAATATAACGTGGGATCTGGGCTGGGATCCTGGAGGAGAAAAAGAGAGAAGGTAAAAACTAAGGAAATCTGAACAGAGGAGGGATTTTCCTTAATGACAGTGTATCAATATCGGCTCATTTATTGTGACAAATGTACCATATTAATAACAGAGGAGACTGGGTGTGTGAGACAGGGGAGCGCTCTGTCCAATTTTTCTGTAAACTTAAAACTGTTCTAAACAATAACGTCTATTTTTTTAATGAAAAACAAATTGCATACAGTGAAAATGACACTATGCATTTCCCAGAAACACGAGGCATTGGAATGATTGCCTGTGGAAGGAGCAGGCAGTTTAGAGTGAAGGGCAGGGGATATTTTAAAAAGTCACAAGAAGGACCTTTGCAGAACATTGATAATAATGCACCATGACTGAGCACTGTAATTAACTCAATTCTGCATCAGAGGCGCCAAAGCAAATAAGAATAATTTATTTTTAGACAAGAGAAAGAAAAAAAAAAAAAAAAACCACTGCAAGACAGTAGGTCACGATGGCTACATGAGTGGTGGAGGCCCTGATGACAGAAGGGACTTGGGGAAGGCTGAGTAGCTTGGAAAGGCCCCAAGAAAGAACAGTTAAGTCAGCCTTGAAGCCCGGGGTAGGGGCCAGGAGGGAGGTGCTCTGGGTGGGTACACAACAGGAACAACAGTCCAGGACACACTCCACAGCCCCACCTAACACTGGTCGGTCCTAAGAGCTAGCTCTGGGCCCTCCTAATTCCCAGCCAAAGCCAGGAAAATCCAATAGCAACCAAAATGAAACACGCTGGAGGGCAGCAAAGACAGCGGCGATACTAGCAGCAGTAGGACGAGTCACAAGGGCAGTTACATTTGAATTTCAGATTAGCAACAAATAATTTTTTAGTACAAGTATGTCCCCAATATTGCATGGGACACACTTAAGCTAAAAAAATGATTTGCTGTTAATCTGAATTCAAATTTAACTAGGCATCTTGAGTTTTTATTTGTTAAATCTGGGAACTCTCAATAATAACAATGCAGTAACACTCACTGTTACTATTCTAGATACTTTACTTGGTTGTCTTATTTCATCTTCACCACAAACCAATGAAGAATGTATTGTTTCTCCCTTTTTACAGACAAGGAAACTGTGATTCAAAAGGATCGAGTCACTTGCCCAAGGTCGTGAGGCTGGCAGATGCCAGGCCTGGGATGTGAACGTCTGGACTCAGACTCCAGAGTCCAGCTCTGGAGCAGGTTGCTGTCTCCCAACTCAGCAGCCACAGGAGGCCCAGGCCTCCGCTCCCTGAGCCTCCTTGACTCCCTGACACCCAGAGAAGGTGCAGCCTCCCATGGTGGTGGTGTCAAGAGCTCGTTGTATGGCCCTCCAAACACACCTCTACCTAAAGAAACCTTCCCACCAGACCCCAATCAGAGGCACCAAGCAAGCTCTGGGTTTCCAAAAGTCAAAGTCAGCATTCCCACAGCAAGGGAGCCCCGAGCAGCCCTAAAAGAGCACAATGTCCCTACAGTGGTGCAAAGAATAATGAGAGAAGGGGCTCCTGGTTTAAGAGTCTACATGAGCAGCACAGGTCCGCACAAGGGGTCTGAGCTGGGCCACATAAAAAATGGGTGAACGACCTCTGGCGGTCCCTTCCAGTTTGGGGATGGCATTAATGGGAATCTCACAAAACAGGTTTCTGATGAGAATGTCACGCCACCCCTCAGCATGACACCCTTTTCAATAATCATAATGAGTACTTATTGAGCATCTACTGCGTACCAGACACTGTGCTAGATGTTTTCATTGCCCCTTCTAATGAGGGGGCATATAAAAAACTACAATCATGCAGGACGTCTATGATTTTGCAAATGAGGAACCTGAGACTCACGGACATCACTTATTTATTCAACTAACACTGGTTAAGCTCCTACTATGTGCCAGACTCTGTCCTAGGTGCCAGGGATACAGCAGTGCACCAAACAAGACCCCTGCCTTCATGGAGCCAGTAGGGTCACAGATTAAAAAGTAAACCAATCTACCATGTTATTTCAGGTGCTATAAGTATGCTGAAGAAAAGCTAAGCAGAGTCAAGGAACAGAATGATAGGGCTGGGAGTACTCTACCTAAGACGGTCAAGGAAGAGGTCTGAAAGGAGGTAACATTCGGGCAGAAGTCTGTAGTGAGGGCCTGAGCGTGCACAGGTCTGAAGAAGGGTGCCCAAGGCAGAGGAGGCAACCAGCGCAAAGACCCTGAAGTAACGGTGACCAACACACAGCCCAGACAAGGCCCACGGGCTGGAGCCAGCACGGGAGGGTGGGAGGGGTAGGAGATGAGTTTGGATGGGATGGCGAGGCAGGTCATCTTTAAAGGATCGTATGGTGTGAAGAAATGGATGGAGAAGTGAGTGACAAAATGGATGGATGGACGGACGGACGGACGGACAAATATGTAGATAAATGGGTTTCCATAGGCTGGCTACTGATCAGAGGTCAGCATACATATAGCTCACAAGTTGATAAAATATATCTGATGTTCAGTTCCCAAATAACCAACTCCCTGAAGGCCCTTATTTTTTTTTTTTTTTTTTTTTTTTTTTTTTTTTTCTTGCGTTATGCGGGCCTCTCACTGTTGTGAAGGGCCTTTTTTTTTTTTTTTTTTTTTTTTTTTTTGGCTGTGCAGCTTGCAGGATCTTAGTTCCCTGACCAGGGATCAAACTCACGCCCTCAGCAGTGAAAAACGTGGAGTCCTAACCACTGGACCGCCAGGGAATTCCCACACGTTCCTTAATAACGTAGTTCTTCTACACAGGAATTTTAACCCAAAATTCAACAGGCAAACCAGGTCTTCATTCGAAGGAAACCATTACAAAGGCCAGAGGATGGAGAGCCAGCAAGAAATGTCGTGTCTTCTGTCTCTAACTAAGCCAGCTTCCACAGAGCAGATGGGCACCCCACCGCCAGCACCAGCACCAGCACCTGCGATCCCAAAACTCTTCCTCAAGTCCTTGAGCAAGAAAATCTGGTTTGCCCACCAGAAAAAAAAAAAAACAATGCCAAACGCCAGAACAAAGCCAAGGCTTCCTGCAGGAGCCCAGCCTGCTTAGCCATCCCACCCCGTACCCTCGGCCACCTGCCCGACCTCACCTCCAGGTCCTTCTCCAGCTCCAGCCCGGCCTCCAGCAGGTTGCGCTCAAACTCCTCCCGCTGCTCCTTCCTCGCCTCCTCCAGGGCGTCGAGCGGCCCCGGCTCAAGGTCACCGGGAGCCCCCTCGTCGGGGTCCTTGCCCGTCTCGCCATTAGAGACGATCGCCAGCGAGTGGCCAGGGGAGCCGTGGCCGGGGTGCGCCCCGCGTTTCCGGTAGTGGTAGACGAGCACGTAGTCGACCTTCCTCTGGTTGTCGTGGAAGTGCATGCGGCTCAGACGGGGCTCCGAGGACAGCGGCTCGCAGGCCTCCAGATAGTTGTTGATGACCTGGCCGAAGAGAACAGGACACGGGCGGCGAGGTCCAGTGAGGGAGGGGCGAGAGGCGCGGGAGGCTGACCTTGCGCTCTGGACCCCGGGAGGGGGACTTGGAAGCCAGGCCCTCCCGGCCCCAAGGAACGGACAGAGGTACCCCAGTTCATCGGCCACGACGGGCCCGCGGCGCCTCCACCCCATACCCGGCGCAGCCCGGCCCCGGCCGCCAGCCCGCCGCTGCGGCGCCTACGCACACGTGCACGCTCCGGTACCCGGATGCATAGGCGGCGCCAACACCACGCGTCCAACCGCCCGCCTCCCTTCGCGCCCCGAGCCCCACGCCCGCTCCCGCGCGTGCGCACAATCCCGCACTCGGCCTCCCTGTGGACGCGCCCGCACACACTGCCCAGGCATGTCCCCCGAGTGCGCTCTGACACGTGGCGCCCCGCACGCACCACGACACTCCCTCCTCCTTGCAGATGTGCGGCCCTCCTGCAAACACACAGTACTCACCGGCAGGTTCTCTGGATCCATTGGAACAAAGGCCGATTTCTAGCCGCCTGGCCCACCCCTGCCCCCACCCCACGGGGATTCACTGTACACTCTGCCCCTCACAGCCTCACAGCCCCTCCCCCTCCTCCTCCTCCTCTCCAGCCACTGGCGAGCCGGAGCCGGCGGCGGGCCACTCCCGTCTGCTCCCCGAGGTGGGAGGTTGAGAGAGGAGGAGGAGGAGAAAGCACGAGGCAGAGTGGGGGGGAGGGACCTGCCTCCCCCTTTGGGTGTTTCCCTGTTTATTACCGCTTTGATACCCAGCTGCCTCTGCAGCCACCTGAGAGGTCACCTGGGCAACCAGATGAAGCGCCAGGCACAGGAGAGAGCCTCGGAGCTGCCCCAGCAGAGGTCTGGTTCCTCCGACCTGAGGGAGGGGAGCCGGGGAGTCTGCAGACCAACGGGCGGGGCCCCCTGGCCTTTCACAGGCCCGCCTTCCGGGTCCTCCTCTGACCAGAGGGCCCCGGCGCTGCTGGGACAGTGTGTCACCATGACTCAGAGAGACAGGAGAGGAAAAGGTCCTAACAGAAACCCCTCCCCTGACACCTGCCTCCCAGGTGGAGGAACCCCCAGTCCACAGGCTTCCTGAGGACCCCCCGCACAGGCCGGCCCATCCGCCTACCCCAGTACTCACGGAGCTGTTTGGGGAGCTCCCTCCACCGGATGCCTGGCTGGAACGTCGGGTGAGACTGCCCTGGAGACCCCGGGCTCCGGGACGCGGCACCTGGAGGCGTTGTTGTCCGTGTTTGGGGCCCTGGCCCCCTCTGACCACTGCCCGGGGGCACAGCCGGTGTGGCGAGCCAGGGAGCAGGGAGATACCTGTGTGAGGCAAGGACAAAGGGGGACAGCAGCTTCAGCGGATGGGAAACCCGGGGACCGGAGAAACTGAGGCACTGAGGCGGGGACACCAGGGTGACCCTAACTACGACTGCGGCCACATCTCCCCACAGCTGTCCCCTCACCCCGGTCATTCCTCACAGGCTTAGTTAGCCAGGTTCACGCTGGCCACAGGGCTGGGGGTGTCCCCATCTCTCTCTCTCTCTCTCTCTCTCTCTCTCTCTCTCTCACACACACACACACACACACACACACACACACACACACACACACGTAGCCACCAGCAGGAACTCCTCCCGATGACAGCTGTCAAATCTCTCATGATTCCCAGGCAAGCGGAGAGGGGTGGCACCCGGGGGGGCAGGGTGGGTGGGGCACTGCCTGGAGAGCCAGCCTGAATTAATGCCAAAGGCTTAGCCTTCAGGGTCCCTCCTGAGGCAGCAAGACCGGCGGGCACCCTGGCAGCCCTCACAGCCCTCGAGGAGACAGCAAGGACAGACCAAGAGTGGGTGCAGGGCAGGGGCAACCTCTGACCAAAGGGCCACCACCTCCAGGGCGCTTGAAGGGTCCCCATGCCCCTGCTGCCCCCTGGCCTCCCCAGAGCAGCCCTTCAGGGCACCTGGGCTGACACCTCAGCTCTGTCACGTGCTGGCTCTGAGGCCTCTGAGCCTGTTTCTTCAACTGTAAAATAAGGAGAATCCCAAACTTGTAGGATGGAGTGAGAATGAGAATGAGAGATACACGTGCAAAGCACCCGGACAGTCATTAGACTACAGGTATGCGATAAAAAAGTGGTTACTATCATTGTTCATATATCTTCATTTTAAACTCTGCGTGAGCAGAAATCACACCTTATACATCCAGCTCAGCCCTTAGACCCTGCCGAATGAATGAATGAATGATCGAACAAATGTATACAAGGCAGCTCTTCCTGGTCTTTTGAAACAGAACCTCTGGTCAGTTACCGGCTTGTGCCGCAGCCCGCTCTGTGCTCAGCTCTCTGCCAGGCAGTTTCGGGAGAACTGGGACATTGGGTCCCTGTGCTTAAGAAATGTATCATCTCTTTGTGAAGTTACCGCTGATGTGCAAGAAACGCAATTATGACAAGCAAGTAAAGATTCCATAATTTGTTTCTAGACTGTGGGCTCTGGTCTATACTGAGGGAGACCAGAAAGGTGGAAAGTCAAAGTGGCTTCAGGAGGAATTAAACCTAAAGCTGGGTCTTGAAGCATCTGGAAGGCAGGGGACAGAACACAGAGGGCCGGGAGTGGGCAATCGTGCTGGTGGTGTGACGGGGGTGGGGGGCCTCCAGCTCAGGGTATCAGGGGACGGGCTTCCTTCCTTGGTCCCCAGTCTTGCTAATCCCTCTGCCCTTGTGCCTTTCTGCCCAGGGCAGAACTGAGAACAGGCCTCTACACCCCAGGGAAGGCCTGGAAACCTCCGTGTGCATGTCTAAACAGCCGGAGACCATCCTGATGCCTACCTGGCCAGGTGATAACGGGGATGCTCAGTCAACGTCCACCTTTCTTCGACAGCAATTCACATTCACACAACTGTGAGTTGGGTAGCTCAGATTCAGAGTCAGCCTAAAGCTTTTGTCAAACCACTGACCGGGAGCTACCATCCCCTAAAGGTGCCACCTGGGGTCTGAGGCTGGCCTCCAGGGCTCCGCTGGCCATCCTGGCTGGCCCCTCCACTTGCCCTCTGACACGTGGATCACGGCTGCCTGGGGCCATGTTTTCACGCCCACCTTCTCCCCACAACCAGTGATTAGAGCACAGCATATGGTTCAGCCATTCCAGCTCCAGAAAGACATTCCAGGCAATAATGACATTTTAGAGAGCTCTCAGCAATACCGACTCCACTTTGATTGTCCTTTCACGTCATTCCCTCGGCTCTTAGCACAAGCTGCTTTAAGCAAGCAGCTTGCTTGGACCGCCACTGTTCCCCACAAGGGGGTCCTTTCAAAGTGTCAGTCAGGCCATGACGCCTCTTGTGTGGAGACCTCTGGTGCTTCCCACATTCTTGGGCTGTGAGACCCTGTGGAATTTGGCCTGTTCACGTCTCTGCCTCATCTGTCCCGTGTCCTGGTGGAGCTCTGAGTTCCAGCCATAGTTCATGCTCTCAGTCTGTCTGATGCATCACACTGCCTCCCTGCCAGGATCTTGCACAGATTCTTCCTGCTGGCTGGAACATGCTTCCTCCTCTAGCTCCAGGCCACCTGCAATTTTAGTCCTTAGGAACCCAGAAAACCCAAATGCAGCATATTCTTGTTTCAGAAAGCTGCTAATCAAGGTGAGACAGGAATATTCAGATACTACAAGCAGAGCTAATCTCCTTCCACCCCAGACATGATTTAGATGCTACAAGCTGAGCTGGTGCAGAGGGAGGTGTAGGCGGAGGTGTAGGGCCACACGGACAAACGTCAAATTGGCCGAGGAAGGCCTCCGAGCTTCAGGCAGTGGACCCCACTGGTCAGCAGGGAGCCGTAGAGAGTGGGACTCAAGCAGCAGCCTTGATTGTCTGGCGTCACTGAGGGAAGATAACCCACTGGTGACAACCCATGACTGTCCAGTCTAAGGGACTCCTTCTATATCCCAAACCTTTGCTCAGCTCCCCAACTGACCACCCCATATGTGAGTAGCCCATCTTCCAATTGTCTGGACCCTCATAAGCCTCCAGGAGCATTAGGGTGGCGGGAGAGGAGAGCCCTCCACACCTCGTCCAAGTGTGACCAGATGGAAATGACCAGAGGCCTCCCGCTGAGCATGGACAGGGGTGGCCCCCCTGGGCAGGAGCATATCCGCATCTGCCCCCCCGTCCATCCTCCTCCTCCACCCTTAGAGGGATCCCCAAAAATTAGACATCACTTTACTCCACCCTCCCTCTCAAAGCCCTTCAAAGGGTCCCATTGCCTGAGTATAAAATCTTTACCATGAACTGGAAGGTGGGACATGTATTCTCCAACCTTGTTCCTGCCCTGCTTCCTACCCCTCATCTCTTTGAAACTTGAGTTTTTCTCAATATTCTGATTTGCTCCATCTCTGGAGACGCTGAAGGGCAGTGGAGCCACAGGGGCACTTGATTAGGGGGGCTGCCCTTTGACAGGGCAGGAGGAAATGAAGGGAAGGAGGGCCATCCTGGTCTTGGCTTGCAGTTTGGAGGCACCTGCAGCCTGTCCGAGTGATGGTCCAAGGCCACAGTGGACAGTCTTTGTCAGACCGAGAATAAAACGTCAATAAGTACCAGACCGTAATTTGGGACTACATAGGGGTAGCTCAGACCACCTGAGAAGCACGAGGGTCGACCTAGCCACGTCCCCCCACCCCATGACCCTCCCAGGAGCAGCCACCAGCACCCTGCCCCACACCAAGCCAGGAGGACCCTGGGTGCCTAGTCCTGGCATGGCCACAGTTCTGTAAAAATACTGTCTTTTCTCTGAGCTTAGTTTTCCCTTCCATCATTGGGGGGAGGGGGTCATTTTGTTCCTTTCTTCATAGGGGAGTGTGATGATAGAACAAGAGAAAGATTAAAATTCCTTGGAAGCGTGTGAGCTACAGAAAATGTGAGGATTGTTAACGAGTCCCACTTTGGGGCTGCAGTGCCTGCCCTTCCATCCATCTCTGCCCACCCAGACTTCTCTGCTCCCCTCCCCCCTGCCCCCGTCTGCTGGTTACCATGTGCTTCCTCTTGGATTCCTGGATGAGACAGGAGAAGCCCCTGCTGTCCACCCCCATCACTACAGGGGAGCTGGTTTCCTTACTCATCTGGGACCACCACACACTTCTTTACCCTGGAGAGCCAGGTATTTCCAGGATGAACTCCACCCCTCCTAGTTGGATCTAAGCTCCATCACCCAGTTGGCCTGCAGGCACCTCAGGTTGTGCTACAGAGGCAGACGGAGAATGAGTAGGATTGGAGATTTTGAGAGAAAAGAACAGAGACCTGGGGCAGGGAACAGCCCAAATCTAAATGGAAAAACAGAGAGAACTTGTTTTCCGGTCCTGCCCTTTTGTTGTCCCTTCCCTAGGCTGCCCAAGGCCCCTCCCCAGCCTGGGTCCCCATATTGTAAGCCTGCACCCACGCCACCCCCCATCCACTACCAGGGGCTTCCATCCCTCACTGCCATGGTGAAGGAGCTAAGCTACCCCAAAGTACAAATAGCCCGTGCTGACATCCTGAGATAATCCGAGTGAAAGCATTTTGAAAACTTGAAAGGCTCTGCAGACCTCACTAGACCCACATATTTACAGGGCAGGGGCCTTCGCCTGAAGGAACACCATCTAACGGTGGGCACTGTGCACCCAGTTAGGTGAGGGGGAGGTGCTGAAAGGCAGGAGTGGTTTCCAGACCCTTCAAATCATGCCACACCTGTCAGACAGTGTGTCAGGAATCTTCTGGGTCCCAGCAAAGGTTCAGAGCTAGGAGGGCAGACGGGCAACAGGAGGATGTGACGAGCTAGTGAGAGTGAGATAAGCTCAGGCAGTAGGTGATGGTGGGAAAACTGGAGCAAAGGGAACGGGAGACACCGTCAAGAGCAAGGCAGTGCCAGGCTGGGCAGAGAGAGAGCAGGCAGTGGGCGCCCCAGGCACACAGGAGGGCGACATGAGTCATCAGGGCCTGAGAAATTTCCAGAGCTTCTGAGAGAGACAGCAGCAAGAGGAGGTTTCCTGTGGGAGCTGGACTTCCAGGCAGCAGGGCGTATCCTCGAAGTTTCCCTCATGGCATCACTGCTGTCTCATTGCTAACCGCTGGCAGGTGAGTGTGAGATGCCCAGAAAAATAGGGCAGCTCCCGTCACCAGCCTTCTGAGGCCGCTACTTCTGGCAAAACCAGACAGGCCAGGGCTGCCCTGAGGGGGACAGAGCGTCCACACCCTCCCAGGCCAAGGACAAGACACCAGGCAAGGGTGGTCCTGCTGACGGGCAGGCCCTCGGGAAGTCTCAGAGCAACCTAGGCACTTTCAGATTTTGAGAGGCTCAC